TGAACGCATAGGTAGTATCATGTAAAAACTGGGGGTGGGGGGTATGTCCCTTTCTAGTCCCTTATATAACATTCCTTAAGTTACAGAACAGAAAGCAAATGATGTTTTTGGTTTTATTTTCAAAATAACTCAAGTCAGCTATGGATTTTGCTACGTAGAAAAATTCTATTTCCAACAAAAAACTGAGGATAAAAATATGATCTCTTTTGAAAAACTGACTAGCAAAAGGATGAGAATTCTGAGGTTCTCCTGGTTAAATGGCCATTATTTTATGTTAACCATGGAGTTATCAGTGAGGATAAAGAAACAGAAATGACCCATCAAGACACTGTTTTGGAACCACTGGTCCATTCTACCAGGCCCTTGTCCTAAAAATACTCACTAAATTAAATGATACCTTTCCCTTTTTCCCAAAGAATCACAGACAACTGAAATGTTTTGTCCAAAAACAGTAGGGGAAGAGAGGGAAAAAAAATCTGTATTTCCCTAAAGTGATAGGTATTGCATTTTAAACTGTAGGATGAACCATAGAGCTGGGACATCTTTGCAATTTGGTGTTTTCCAAGCAGGAAATGTCATTCTTGATTGCCACCACCATCACCCGCCACCTCCTGGTCCCTTCTAATCATGCTTTCAAGGCCTTGAGAAAGAAGATATTCCTACTTCCCACTGAAACTAATATGCAAAATCCTGAAAGTCAAGTGAGACGGTCAAGAATTCAGGACCAAAACAGATTTGAGAACATACCTCTCAAATTTCTTCCTTGCATCAGTGGGGACAAAAACAGCGACAACAACAAAAACAACAAACCCAAATTAGATAGTAACCCAGCGTTAAGGGATGCCAAAGGAGAAAAATTAAGTTTTCCATACCGGAACTGGTCCATCAACCAGATGATGTATCTGCCTTAAGCGTTTATTTAATGCAAAAATAACTTAGCAATCAGAGAGCAGGAAGTGGAGGACAGCAGAAGCTGCACGGGGCTGTATACGATTTGAGGCACATTTTGAAATGACCAGGACAAACCATTTTTAAAAATTTATAATTTTATGTGGATGAGTGTTTTGCCTGCATGTATGTAAGTGCATCCATGGTGTATAATGCCACAGAGGCCACAAGAGGGTCAGATCCCCTAGAACTGGAATTATAGACAGTTGTTGGCCACCATGTGGGTGTTGGGAACTGAACCCAGGTCCCCTACAAGAGCAACCAGTGCTCTTAATTGCTGAGCCATCTCTCCAGTCCCCACTATTTTTTTTTCTTTTTTTCTTTTTTTTTGGAGACAGGGTCTTACTATATAGCCCTGGCCAGCCTAGAACTTGCTAAGTAGACCAGGCTGGTATTGAACTCACAGAGATCCACCTGGTTCTGCCTCCCAAGTACTGGGATTAAAAGCATGGTTCCATCATAACCGGCAGGTAAACTTCTTTTCATTGTAAGAAAAATGCTTATCAAACAATTTCTGAAGAACTTCAGGAAAAGAAGAAACTGAAAGTTTTGAGGCAGTGTCTTCCCTTAGTGCAAACAGTGGCTGAGTAGGAGCTTTGTGAAACATTACAGTTTCTACCACTTATGTTCTCTGAAGAGCAGAAAATGCAGGGATGGTGGCATAAAGACAGTGTTTTTCATAAAGATCAACTGATGAGTTCACTCCCTGGATCCAAGTTTGCCTTTTTAAAAAAATATGTATGGACTGGAGAGATGGCTTAGTGGTTAAGAACACTGGCTGCTCTTGCAGAGGACCCAGGTTTGATTCCCAGCACCCACATGGTGGCTAACAATCATCCATAACTCCAGTTCCAGGGGGATCCAATGCCCTCTTATGACCTCTGCAGGCACCACACACATGACACAGGTGTACTTACATACATGTAGGCAGCACACTCATACACATAAAAAAAAGTAAAATATTTTTAAAGAAATTATGTACATACATGTGTGTCTGACTGCAGATTTGTGTACCTGGGTGCAGTGCCCATGGAGGCCAGAGGTGTCAAGAGTCCTTGGATCTGGAGTTATAGGTTGTTGTAAGCAGGCTGGTGTGGGTGTTAGAAACCCACACCTCCAACCCTGCAAGAGCAACAAGTGCTCTTAACCACTGAGCCATCTCTCCAGCAGCTTAAGTTTGACTTTTGATGGACATAGTCTCCATTAGAAGCACATACCTTACATCCTAGAGAAGGAAGAAAAACTCTCAGCATTTAGGGCTACAGAAAACTGAACAGCTATAATACTGATGCTGAATACAAATGCCAAGAGGGGTATAACTGGGCAGTTTTTATTAGAACCTATTCCACTAGTCCTCCTGTAAAATGAAGGACATTTCTTAAATTGTCAATCTCTAACCCTTTTTCCTTATGTTCCTATTTTTTATGTGTACGATTTTACAGAAGGTAACATTTTGTGGTGCTACAGTTTGAATATGAAATGTTCCAAGTAGGCTTGTGTGTTGGAACACTCAGTCCCCAGCTGATAGTTCTATTTTTGAGAAGCTGCAAAAACTTTAGGAGGCAGAAACCTAGCTGAAGGAAGTAGGTCAATGGGGGTGTATCTTCAAAGGTTATTCCTGGCATCTCTTCTTTTTTTTAAAACATTGTTTTTATTCATGTGTATGTGTGTGGGATTGCTTATCTGTAGGTACACTATGTGCATGAAATGCCCAAGGAAGTCAGAAGAGGGCACTGGATCTGCTGGAACTGGAGTTACAAATGGTTGTGAGCCTCCATGTGGGCGTTGGGAACCAAACCTGGGTCTATTGCTAATAGCCAGTGCTCTTAACCTCTGAGCCGTATCTCCAGCCCCTCCTGGGGTCTCTGGACTCTGTATCTCTTTGCTCCCTGTCCTCTACAAAGTGAACAGCCTTCTCTTTCACATGCTTCTGCTGCTATGATGATCTTCCTCACCACAGGTGCAGAATGAGCAGAACCAAGGACAGGAAAGCAACCAACACATTCAAAATTATGGTACTGAAATGCAAAATTTTTACTATTATGTCCATCTGCTCATATGTCAACATGCAATATTACAAAGTATAGTGGCTAACTGAAGTCTAGTATATCCTTTAGTTGGTAACCTAGATATGTGGGTCTTAAATGAAGAGCTTGCTAGGATTTTGTTTTAAATACTATCCAATATTATGCTGCTGCTAAAAATGCAGTTCTAAAAACTATTCCCCAAACCACACAAGAATGTTTAAGCTACATAACATTAACAGGAAAAGCCTCCAAAATATATACACTATAATGTTAAGAAATACACACACGTATACACACACACACACACACACACACACACACACACACAGGTAGGAGGTAAGAAGCAAAACCAAATACTGTAACATAGTGGTGACTGTAAAAATAAAATACTTTATTTTCCATATTAACTACTTCTTACAAATGTTTGCTATTTTTTTTCCTTTCGAGTGGAATTAATCATCAGCTAGTGGGAGTTTTTAGAAATATTTTTTATATCCATAAAGTGACTGCAAATGTGGCTAAACATACAAACAACATGACTATTCTCCATTCCTAACTTGTTAAGAGGTTGTACAAAGATATAGCCATTGTCAGGCATAGTGGTACATCCCTACAATCCCAGTACTTGGGTTACATAGTGAGTTCCAGGTTGGAATGGGCTACACAGGAGACCCTGTATCAAGAAAAGGTGGTTCGGCAAGATGGCTCAGTGGGTAAAAGCACCAAGCCTGAAAACCTGAGCTCTGAAGGAGAGCAAGAAGGAGTTCTGAACTAGGCAGGTAGTCAGGAGAGGAGGCCCCAGACTAGATTCAGCTGTGTTTCAATTACTCTCACTTATATCCAAAATGACCCACTTGTGGGTTCTTGTCCAAAGTTGGCCTTTTTGGTAGGCTTTTTTCCAGCTTGCAGGCCCTCTCTGGTGGGAATTTCAAATTTTCTGCCATTGCTCTTCCACACAGGTCCCTGCTTTCCTATGAATGAGTCAACCAACCACATGCATTCTTCCTTGTCCAATCCAGTGGTGGAAAGGGGAGCCCAGTCCTGTCCCACCTCCTACCCTACAGAATACAAAAGCCAGACTCTCCACGATGCTCCAGCTCTGACCCCTCCCCATGTGGGGAGTCTGTCTCTTTGCTGTGTGAAGTGTTGCTTGTGCTTCAATAAACCCTGGCTGTGTGCTGTGACTGCAAACTTCGAGTCTTGTAATTCTTTACCTGGAGAAGAAAAGGACCTGAGAACAGACCCAAGCCAGCTTCAGCTCCATTCCTAGGACCCACATCATGAAAGGAAGACAACTGACTCCCACAAGCTGTCCACCAACCTCCATGAATGCATGCACACACGCACACACACACACACACACACAGATAAACAAAGTTCTTTTACTGAGAAGGTGATAGTAGCAATCAGGTGTTGGTTACTCACTTCTGAATATTACTTGACTGGCATTTTGAATAACCAGCATAAAGATGTCTTTTCAAATGATATGCTAGAAACGGCTCAGAGATCCCCAGGACTACAGAATGTGGGTGAATTCTAACAACAGGGATCTGAGCTTGGAAGTCAACACTCTAACACAACATGCTCTCCCAGCATGTGCAGCACCTACCCACCAAAGCAGTTCCCTTGGCTCTGCATTATCTGCTTTGGCAAGAAGCAGCAAGGTGGTAACAGGGATCCTGGCAGAAGGTCCTTGCTTTAGAGAATAAAAAATGCCATAAACTGCCCATACAGCAACATTACCAGCTACTGAACATAAGGTTCCTAGCAGGGCTGGGCATGTGGCATACATCTTTAATCCCAGCACTTGGGAGGCAGAGGCAGGTAGATCACTGTGAGTTTGAGGCAAACCTGGTCTATATAGTGAGTTCCAGGCCAGCCAGTACTACGTAGTAAGACCATGTCTCAACAACAAAACGTTTTCTAGCAAACAAAACACTGAAATATCACAAAATTGTTTCTTTGAATGAAAATATAAAGGAGGGGATGAGAAAAAGAACTTGAATTAAGAATGAAAAATGAAGCTTGACTTGGCAGGTACCAGTTTATTTGACATAGTGCATGATTCAAAGCATCTCATATTCCAAAGCCAACAAGACTTCCCACTTCTCTATTATAAAATGCCAGATACCCTGAATACAGTGAATTCAAGGCCCTGGTTCTTTTTCTCTTATACCTAGAATTTAACAGGTTTCCCTGTGTAGTACACATTTCACATTCTCCAAAGGCTTTGGGGAAAGGGGGTGGGGGGAAGAGGGCTTCTAATTGCCCCTCTGAGCCAAAGGCACTTAATGTTAAAAGATAAAGCACAGTACAGTCACTGCACAGACATTCCTGTGTGTTCAGATCACTGAACTCCAACAATATTATCACTGGCCCACATGGGATTTGTCATAACAATGTAAAAGACACTGATTTCCTTGAAAGAACAAAGTGCAGCAAGAATAGAAAAGACTTACATCTACCCTTTTCTGAAAATAACACATAAGGAAACTCTTACCTTATATGATTAGTATTACCCAAGATTCACACATGGCAAAAAAATAGCTAAAAAATAATCTGTCATAAATTCTCCAGATGCAATCACAGCACACTCTGCTATCGCTCACAGAACCTGTGAGCTGGAAAGAGCTCCAGAGACGTTGCTGTCCATCCACTCATCATTTGATGAGGAAACAGAGGCCCAGACAGATGAAGTACTGGACCCCAGGGTCTAGTGCTGTGGTAAGAGTCTGGGCAGGACACACACTTCCTGCTACTTCAAAGTCCTCTGCTCTCTCCTTCTTCAAAAGGCTTTCAACATAAAACATGGCGATGATCCCCAAAGATGCACCACACGATAAAGCACATGTACTGACACAGGTCAGTAATTTGGTCTCGCAAGACAGTTCCTTTGGCCACTAGGCAGATGTGGTACCCACCTCAGGTGGGAATTCTTTGTACAAGATCATTTCAGAGTTCAGAGGGAAGCTGACTGCAGGTTAGAAACAACTTCCTGGATTTTGGAAGGCTCCTCTTGGCTATCAGTCCATGGTGGGCAGGTGGTCAGCTGCACAGCGGAATCCCAGGTTTGACGCTGAGCTATCAGGTGTGTTCTGGCTTCGAGCAGCACAGCGATACCTATAGCAATAGGACTATGAGAGAGAAAAAGTGAGAAAAGTGTTCCTGGGACCCACAGCATAAGGCTTTGTGCATGCTGCATAAACGTACCTAGTATAGAGAAATACAGCTACTGGACAGTGGAGCTTCCCACAAACCACCCTCCTAGATACTTAATGTGTATGCTTTGCAAACAGCAGAACATTCCAGAGTTAACTAGTGTCTTCTACCTTATAAATACCACCTTCATACAGTAGAGAGGTTGCCACTACTTAAAACACCAAAAAGAAAGAAAGGAATAACAACCCATGGTGATGTGAGTTATGGCACATCCATGTGGTAGAACAGTCGGTAGCCTCTGAGAATCCTGTTTTTACATAATATGTGAATACACAGAATTCCCATGACAAAATGTTAAACAAAAATGTCAGAACAAGAACTGCATGTATGGTATGACCTTCATCTACATTGATTACAAAAACGCTAAGAAAACAGACTGAATTATTCCTAACATAGCATATATGTACAACAATTATCCTCGATAAAGAGGTTTCAAGATTTTAACACTATTGTATTAATTTTGACATTATAACAACAAATAAAAGGCAATCAAGAAAAGATTAAAATAGCATCAAATATCATGCAATATATTCAATAAATTACATGCCAAGCAGAGGAACATAAAATGTAAGAAAGGCAATGGGAATCCCCAACCCCAGTTCCTTGAGAGTGTAAATCACAAGGCTACACATTTTGAGGTGTAATTCTGCAAGAGCAAAGTGCAAGTACACACATGCACACAAACACAGGCACTGAGAGCCTAGGACACCCTAGACATGGTGCTAAGCACTGTCATCACTTACTTCTTTGATCATTACAGTCCAGGCACACCAAACAAGTTACAGAAGATGACACAGCTGTTAAAGGAAGCAGGATTCCAACCTGGATTGAACTGCAGAGTGGCTGCTGCCTCAGCAAGAGTCTGCATTCCCAGTGGGAAGGGTACCTCACATCTCATGTCTTTTTTCCCACAGCCAACACACAAGCCCTGTTTACACACACACACACTCACACACATACAGGACCTGCATCTATGGCCCCACAGAGTACTCAGTGAATGACCGTGGGCTACTTGACGTAGCACTTACAAAACATCCAGATTCCAAAAATAACCACGTATGAATTTTCTGATTCAAAATAACAGAATAAAAACAAACTAATCATCCTGGGTGCCATGGGCAGAAACTCAGAGCTGATCCAGTGAAATTCTAGTTCCTGCCAGCTGGCTAAAGAAACTTTGAAAAGAATTATGTAGAAAAAGTTTGGGACTCATGCAGAAGCGATGATTTGTGAGGAGAAAAAAAAAATAGGCCAGCATGTAAGATATTTTTTAAAATTCCTATTACCTCTTTTCTCTTACAAAAGCCAGATGCTGCTAATCTCCATAAAAATTATCTCTGAAGTTGACATGGAAATTCTATGGCCATAAAAAAGAAAGACAGAAAGATGTAAAGCTTTATCTTCTATAGATAATAAAACAATAGCAACCAATTTTCTCTGTGGACAGTGAAGAATAGAATGTATTATCAATTCTCAGATAGAAGGAAGATTTTTTAAAACGTGCTTGTGAGCTGGAGAGATTGCTCAGTGGTTAAGAGCCCTTGCTGCTGGGTTTGATTCCTAGCACCTACATCAGGTAACTCACAACCATCTATAATTCCAGTTCCAGGGAATTTGATGCCTTCTTCTGGCCTCCACAGGCACTAGGTACAACTAGGTACATATGTGGTGCACACATATGTATATATAGATGCAGGCACTCACATACATATAAAATAAAAAATTTCAAATCCTTTAAAAACATGCTTGAAATAATGAGAAGTTGATGGTACCCAAAATTCTGTGTGACCCACATGAATGGAAGCTCTCAACTATCTGGGAAGCTCTCAACTATCTGGCTGCGTGAGGAGGCCCATCTGGGAACGGCTGTGTGAGGAGGCCCATCTGGGAATGGCTGTGTGAGGAGGCCCATCTGGGAATGGCTGTGTGAGGAGGCACTGCAGAAAGCTCCATGCAGGCAGGGTCTATTCTCTAGGCTGCTGTGAAATGGCAGAGTTCTGATGTTTTTAGAATTAAACTCAGAAAGACAATCCAGGACTCCATGCAACCCAATATATGCAGTGAATTCCACCCTGTAGCAAGGTTCAAGTTCAGGGGAAGCATAGAGACAGATGACTTTGACAGTCTTCTACCATGACGGGACCACACATGATGAAACCAGCCAAGTATTTCATTTCCTGGCCACCTACTATTTGCATCAGGAGAGCACACACAGCTTCTTGGCATGATCCTGCCCTGCCTGGCTACAGACCACTCATCAACCAGCTACAAAGCAGGCTAGGGTTAAATTAAATGACTCTGAGGTTAGTAATTTGGGTGAAGGGATTGTCCCTTGCAGAATGTCAATGTCTTTAGGAAAGAATACTTGGCCTAAGTGGGGCATACACAGTTATAACAGTGGTTCTCAGAACACAATCCTGATAGTTAATAGTGTCAACTTGACAAGATCCAGAATCACCAGAGACAAGTCTTTGGACACATCTGTGAGAGATAATCTTCATTAGGTTAACAGGTAGGAAGACAGACTCTCATCGTGGGTGCCACCATTCCCTGGACTGGGGAGCTACACTGCATACAAAGGAGAAAGCCAGCTGAGACCAGCACCTATATCTTCTGCTTCCTGACTACAGATACAATGTGACCAGCTGCCTTGAGCTCCTGCTGCCATGACTTCCCCTCCAAAATGGACTGTACCCTAGAACTGTGAACCCAAATAAACCCTTCCTCCCTTAAGTTGCTAAATTTTAATTTTAATTTTTGTAAGTGCTTGTAGTGTTGATTTATTATTTTTTTAATGTGTATGAGTGTATTGTGTGCATGTATGTGAGTGCACCCATGTTGTGCAATGCCGCGGAGGTCAGAAGAGGGCTTCAGATTCTCCTGGAACTGGAGTTAAGGATGGTTCGTAGCTGCCATGTGGGTGCTGGGAATTGAACCCTGGTCTCCTCTGCAAGAGCAGTCAGTGCTCTTAACCGCTAAGCCATCTCTCCAGCCCCTAATTTTTATTCTTTAGTGTGCATGTGTGTGCGTGTGCATGTGCGCTCACACGTGTGTGTGCACGCGTGTGTGCAGGCTCATGCGTACCACAGAGCACATATGGAGGTCAGAATACAGTGCTCAGGAGTCAATTCTTTCCTGCCACTATGTTGAATCGTGGGATCCAATTAGAGTCATCAGGCCCATGGAGCCCTTCTTCTCACTGACCCTTAAGTTGCTTTTTTAAGGGTATTTTATCACAGCAACAATACAAGTAACTACTACAGCAGAAGACACACAGACCAACACACACACACACACACACACACACACACTAGCCTGGAAAGCTTGTCCAAATACACATGCCTTGGCTGTACACATAGAGCTGTTACTGTCACAGGCTTGGTGTGGTGCTCAAGAACCTCCATGTTTAACAAGCTCCCAGGTGCTGCTGCAGCCCACAGGCTGGACTCTGAATAGTAGTGATGGAGAAAAGAGGAAGGAATGCAAATTAAGTGGAAGAGCAATGGCATGGGAAGCATGAACAAGGGAAGATTCTGGCAAGAGAACAGCAAAACCACAGCCTGATCACATCGCGGCATGGTTTACTCATTAAGTATAGGAGAGCTTATAATACGCCAGAAGCTATTTTCAGCGGATGTAATCAGAGCAAGATAAACAAGGTACCTGTTATAACGGAGCTGACATTCAACAGGAAGTACTCAGACAATAAACAGGCTGATAAACTCAAGGCTGTTGCCCCCTGCAGCAGTCACCTCTGAAGAAAGTAACAATGGGAGAGAGGATGGAAAACGACAAGACTACTTTACACAGGGTGGTCTGGAAAAGGAGGAGGTGATATGGGAGCTGAGATGCCCAAAGACTCGAAGAACTGGAATTCTAGGAAAAGTGAGCCAAAGATGGTTAATGTAAGAAGCAGGAAATGTAGGCAGGTAAACAGATGGAGTCACATTACTGCCACCAAAGTAAGGGGAGTCTAGACTTAATACAAATGAAAATTATGATATAATTTTGCTAACTTTTTTAACCAGTAAGGGCAAAATCCCAGATTTAGTCACTAGTCAACCTTCCTGAATCTGGTTTCTATTTAATAAAATGAAACTGTTCATAGAATTACATGAAAACACTTCATCTTGGAGTTGGGAATGTAGCTCAGTGGTAGAGCACTTGCCTAGTGTGAGCAAGCCCCAAGTTCAATCCCCAGCACCTTAAAAACTCAAACAAAAAACTCAAACAAAAATCTTCCATCTTGATTCTACATAAAAAGGAAAGCAAGGAGCACACAGAGAAGCATGACACCTACTCTGCTCTGTGAACACGGTGCTCTTTAGCACAGACGTTCCTTTGCCAGTCTTCTCTGACCTCAGAACTAGACTCTTCTTCACGAAACAAGAGAAGCACTGTCCAGCTCTGAAGGAGGCCCTAGAGGTCCTGTGTATGACTGAGGGAAGATGATGCTCCTCTGCCAGCATCTAACTGGGGATGTACATGCGCTACATAAACAGGAAAGGTTTATTTGCTGTATAAATGGAGGGAAAGCAGAGAGAGAGGTCTTGGCAACTCAGTACAGGACTAGTTTTTACTGAATGGATTATTCTATAGGCAACAAAAGCCAGGATATATGACTGATGAAATGTTAGTACTTGCTCAGAACAGTGTTGAGGATTCTGCAGCAGTGACACATGAGAAAAGAGATCTGTGACACAGGAAACTGTCACCATGACCATGTTTAAAAACCTGAGTATACACAAATAATTCCATTCTTTTTATTATTTGTTTTTTCTTTGGTCTTTTTGGGACAGGGTCTCCCTGTAGCCCCAGCTGGCCTGGAACTTGCTATGTAGACCAGGCTAGCCCTGAACTCACAGAGATCTGCCTGCCTCTGCCTCTCGATTGCTGAGATTAAAGGAGTGTGCCA